GGCCTTAAGTCCCAACACTTACAAGGTCAAGAACCCGGCAGGAAACCAAGCACCTGGTGCACCCAGAGGCCGGCCAGCTGTGCCAGCCCAGGTTCCCTCCTTTTTCCACAAGTTTCATCCATCACGACTCCTCTTCCCATTTTCCTAACTGTATCTGCTAGACTCTTTCCTGTGTCCCACTGCGGAACGTGCTTCCTGAAAACCTCTGTCCCCAGATGAGTCTCTGGATGTACACCTTGCAAAAGCACCCAGGCACTAACACGACAGGTCAGCCACGGCCCTCGGGGCAGCCGACAGCAGGAGGCCCACCACCTTCATAGTGGGCAGCTTCCCAGCAGCACTCTGGGTTCGGGCAGTGGCCGGGCCATGTGCTTTGGCTTAGTTCCTGAAACTTATGGACAGGTTACTACCCTCTACCTTTCCATTTAAATGCTACCAAATTAGACCTTTCTAGGATTAAATTGAGACTGCACATCTTCATAAAATTTCACCTTAGAGGCAAGTAGGTTTTAGCCAAATGTCCCAGCTTAGATAATTTTGAATCTTGATTTTGTATCGTTGGTCAAATAATGACAAGACTTACTTAAATCATTACTGCAAAAAAAAAAATTTAGAACTCAGGTGAATCATTTGGCATGTTCACAGGCTTACATTTACCCCACTAAAAGCCTCTTCAATAGCAGATGAGCTTAGTAACATGGTGGTGGGAATGCTGGCACTGATGGGAGCTGCAGTGAGGGGAGCACTGGCTCCAGAAAATCCATTTGCGAAACTCAACCCAGTTTACCAAGAGAGTTTATTAGCATGAAAATTGAGAACAAAGAAGAAACAGCCTTCCATTTCAGTAAAAATTAATCTCAAGATGTGAAAAAAAGATCCTTTTCAGAATCCTCTTCTCTAGGAGGCCCTTAAGGCACTGAGTTGAACCAGAAGGATGGTCCAAGATACCCCATGAATCCACCTAACCAGAAGAGGAGGGAGATGGAAAAGAAAGGGGATTTAGGATAAAAGACACAAATGGAACACAGGCTGCAAAGGAGCCATGCTTTGATTCAAAAAGCAAAAGCCACCAGCAGAGTTCAAGGAAAGCTATCATTCACTGGGTATCCTGAGAGAATAAGAATACTCACAAGGTTTCTGATTCAATCAAGTCACCCAGGTAATGAGATTGACAATTACTCAAGAGGAGCCTATGTCAGGGGCCTGTTGTTTGGAGAAACAAAGTGAGATTGTTGGTAACACATTCTCAATCCTCAATGTAGAATAGGAGTATTTTTTCTAGTGATAAGGCTGAATCAGGAAACACACTGGACAGAGGAAGGAAACCGGGAAGGTGGGGGAGGGAAAAAAATGAGAGAGGGAAAAAAACTAGCACTATAGGAAGTTCAACCAGATAGGAACTAAGGGAATTTGTTTTTCAGTGCCTCTAGCTTCAATTTGGAAACCAAGTGAGAACTCTGACTCTCTCTCTTCCTTACACACACACACACACACACACACACACACACACACACACACGTACACAACTCCAGGAAAGCACTGGGCAGTACAAGCACCTCCTGCAGGTCTCGAGGGACCCAAATAATTTCAATTCAATATACTGGATCATTTCTTTGTCTCTAGAAAGTACAGAGAGCTCTAATCTAGGGGCATTCCACTCCAGAGTATAGTCTTCCACTTAATGTGACAAAAATACAGTGGGGAAAGGAAGGTCTTGGAAATTACACGTGCATAGCCAGCCATTCTCCCACAGCACAGGTCTACAAGTTTTCTGAGTAGCGGACACTTTGTGATGATTCTTCATTCTTTAACCAAGTACTTCTGAACAGCCAGATTCAGCTAGGAACTAGTGCCTCTTGGCAGCCTCTGTGGCTGGAGGAAGCACTGAGCACCAATAAAGCTACTGTAGGTCCCTCAGCTGCTACAGTCTAACTCCTAGAGCAATGAGAAACAGTTAAAGCTATGAAAAACTGTCCCAGTCTAAGAAGCAATGCCTGAGAGTCCATTTCGGGAAAACTGGTTTGATTTTTTAAAAACACAAAATGGCATAAGGAAAAATTCTCTATTTATCCTATCTCAAGAATCTACCATGGACACCAGCATCTACCAGGGAGGCAGGTTGATGAGTACTTCTCACTTTCAGAGGAGACACACCGAAAACATTTCAGAGGAAATGATATTTCAAACATCAACCCTGTAGCTATAAAAACTATGATTTTAAAGATACATAACAAGTCCATTTTTTAAAAAGGAAAGTAAAATGAGGTTCCTCGTTACTGAATCCCTACCAGGCACCACACGCTGAACCAAGCACATAGCAGAACCCAGAACTGGGACGCCCCAGTCCTAAGCTGTTCACTGTGCAGTGCGTGTGACCAATGAAAAGATCCACACATAAAAGACAGTGGATCAATGTCTTCACTAGATGTACAGAGGCAGAAACAAAAGGAGTGATTTAAACTTTATAAACATGTCCTACATACCTTGTACAGCTTCAATTATTATTTTGATGTACTTTCCTGTTTATTTAGAAATACAAAGAGAGACCTAATTAAGAGATCAGATTCTTGGCTTGGTATAATTTGTTCTGCTACACATACAAAGCTCACCAAGAGAACTCACATTTTAAATGCTTTTTGGGGGATACAGGTGGCAATTAAATGCACAGTTCTAGATTTTAAAGTTTCATCTTGTATCAAGGACTAGAAATCCAGCGAAAGTTCTGGATTCTCCATATCCATACAATTGCGTGAGTGCCCACCTACAAATTTTGCATGCCTCCTGAAGGTGGTCCCAACTTCACCACAACGAGTAAACACTAAGACACTGCCCAAAGAGCTCTCAGTACACACACAACAAATCTACATCACTTTACAGTCTGGTATACTTCTGAAATTTCTAAAGCAAATGACTTCACTGATTGATAGGCTAAACTGTAAAGACATCAAGTGATGTGATGTCTACCAGGACTTCTCTGGAGACCCCTGAGACAGAAGACAGAAGACCTAGCATGGGTAAGTACAGTGACTAAGCCACAGAAACCACAATCACCCTCAAATCCTGGGCTCTGAGCAAACTCAGCTCCAAACCATGAAAGAGCCATTGGTACCATACACGTTGTATTCAAGCTGCAGCAGTGGGTGCTGGGGTCAGGGAAGGCAACGAAGGGGTGCATAACTATAACTGGGGTAGCAAGAGCGAGATGTCTTGTGGTGGAAGGACAGTTTAAGCTAGCAACAGAGACAGTGGCTACAGAGTCCACAAATGTGCCCAAACTACACACCAATGCTAACTTCCTGTTCCATGCCCTGCCAGAATCACAGAAGATACTAACAGCTTGAGGATACAGGAAAGGGTACAAGGAGCTCCTTTACCCTCTCTTTGCAGTTTCCTACGAATCTGTAACTATTTCAAAATAAAAGGTCAAGCTCCCCATGACCATTAACCAAGAGGTGGAGATGTTTCTTGGACATAAATATTCAGATCAATCGGCTCAACTGAAAGACCAGAAGAGACAAATAATACATCAACTGTGCTCCAGAAACTGCTTTCTCAACTGGGACTCTGGCTCCAGCCAAGAATGAACACGGCTCCCAAGGCTGACATTAGGCCTCATGCTTCTGAACTTGTGGCACTCCACCTTGAAAGCAAGAAGTGAAGTTCCAAAATTTAAACCTTTATTTTCCACCAAATGGGAAGAGTCAAATATTCCCACAAAATGATGACATAGTACTATTACCAGTGTGTCTGATAAAAGCTCAAAGAAAACTGCTGAAGCATACCCAGGTCAGCTAAATGGGAACTGTTCTCAATGCAAAGGCCACAGAACAACCACAGCAGGGCAGAGGCCCCAGAGCCAGTCTGTCTGACTAGTGCTGCTCTTCCCAGCAGCCTCTCTCTCGTGAAGGGACATCCGCTATGGCCCAACGTCAGAACTCCTCCTCCCTCAGGACCAGCTGCTGCCCCACTGCTCGCCACAGACCCTGTAGCCACCAGCCAAGCGGATTTCCCTCTGACGGGGTAGGGCGGATGAGTGCTAAGACCTGAAGGGAAATCACCCAACATAAATTCTCATCACCAATAACTCCAGGCTAAAAATAATACTAAGTAATAAGTATCAATCACCAAGGAAAAAAAGACTTCTCTCAGCCTGGAAAAATATCAGAGATAAATGAAACAAGTCTCTTTTTTATTCTTAAGTCACCATGGGCCTTCACTAGGAATCATCAGAGGAACCAAGTATGATACACCTGAGCAGATTAGTTGACTAATAGTTGTAACAACAATATATTCCAGGTTTTCTTAGACAGCATCAGTTTTATTTTAACCCATTATCTCCAGACAGCCATATTTCAGAGATCCTAATATTTTGACATATAATGTTGTCTCTTACATTTGCAAATGGTGCAAAAATTCTGTGAATTATATGACCAATTTAACAATTAGGATTCACAATTGCGGGTTCACCAAGTTTGAGGGTAGCATAGTCATCTCCTTCTTGTCTTCTGAAGTTTTGAAGTTTTAAAGAGACTCCCTCCACATGACATGGATGGACCACAGTTGAGATGCCCTCACGATGGGATACCTGGCTCCAGAGTCTGCCTGCACTGAACCGTCTCCCCGCAAGCACATTCCATATCACAGCCCAGCAGGAAGAAAACAAATGTCCCTGCATGTGCCTCCCCTCCTGTGGTGACGGGGACACTTTTCCCTTTGACTGTACCAGCAGTGGTACCATCCCTGAGTTTTTATTCTTGTCGTCACACTAGAAACAAACAAAATAGACACTGTGCATCTTTTTTTTAAGATTCCTTATAAAATGTGGCTACCAGCTACTAGCAGCAAGAGATAGAGTTTCAGCTTCGTATGAAGTCCTTACAGTATTGAGTGGATAATTTTCTCTGCACAATACAGCACTGTTAGTAACAGACTCATAGTCCTATTCACACCTGAAAACCACACAGTGTGACAGAGCATCCCAACTGGGTGTGGCTCCGTACCTCAGAAGTCTTCTTGCTCTGCCTTTTCCCAAAAATGCAGTCAAGATCTGTTTTGCTCCGAGATGACAGGTCCTTCCCTAGGAAAACAACATGGTACTTTTCAGTAAGGCCACTCGTTCTAAAACAAAGAGCACAAATCTAAATTATGCAACTTTTAAAAGGAACATGAACTGTAGAAAAGAAATAAACAGTCTTGTAACTACTGCTTTCTACCTACCCCTTAAAAATCACAACTCTTTGGTGAATAAATTAATTAAAGAATCACATAAATGTCTTAGAATCAGAACTCTTGATACTCCCTGTCAACTGTAAAAATAAACTAGAGCACACAGATGTGAGGAAAATTGAGCTTCGGGGCTGACCCTGCTTCTGGTACACCTTCAAGACACAGTTTCTGGGTCTCAGCTCCTCATTATGACAGAGATCTCAATCATTCCAAAGAGATACAAGCTACTTACTGAGGATTATGAAATGCATTTAAAAATACTGTTTGATGCATAGCTTTAAACATTTTAAATTTTCACTCACCCCATAGTAATTATTGACACATAAGATCAATAATTATTAACAGAATAAGTGAAAATTAGAAAGAATGAATGCAAATATAAAGTCCAATAAAAAAAGTTCCTAACTGCAATAGCTATATCATCTATAAACAAAAGGCTACATAATGACAGCAGGAAATTCAGTGGTTCTGGTAAAAACAGTGTCCAAAGGAACTATGGTTCTTATTTTAAAAAGTAAACTTAATTTCAATCTCACAAACCAACTAACTTTGAAACTCACTTCATTGGAATTCCACTTCTACCCAGTAATACACTGTGAGCAGTCAGCCAAATCCTTTCCCATTTGTCAACTTCACGGTAAGTGCATTTTAAAATGTATCTGCTCTGGGCAGGGTGGTCTGGGTCAGACACAGGAATCTGTGTTTCGAGGAAGAACCCTAGTTCCACTGCTGCAGACTTACTTGTCTTTGTGGTTTCCTATAGCAAACTGACTTGGCAAAGTAATGTTATGACCCAGAAGGTTCTGGTTCACTGACTATCACCGGGGCATTAAAATATGATATTGCTCAGTGACTCCATGACATTAAACAACAAGATTCCCTTCAATTTAATGCAAAATATGTACAGAACCAGTTTCAGGGGCAGGAGTACCAGATTACAGGGTACAGTCAGTGTGAACTGCCCAGAGTGGGGCAGGAAGGCCCCACTCTGGCTCTATGCATTGCCCCTTGCCTCCACCTAGCTAGAAACCAGCCTGTCTGACTTTGACTACTAAACACAACTTCAATAAAAGACCCCAGAGAAAACCTACTTAAGAACGGGATGTAGCACTGCAGTTAGGAGCCCAGAAGTAAGCCAGAGAAGTGGGGAAGATGACCAGTGCCGGGGCAGCAAGTGAACTAACTCTTGGGAGGTGAAGAGATCTACCCTCAGCTCTCATCAGCACAGCCCACCTCCTCCTGCAAAGATCATTCAGGTGGGAGATCCTATTCCAGAAGAGCACGAGCCGAGCCTAGTTCAAAGCGCTCACCAGCAAGTGCAGTAGCCATGTATCCCTAACCTGTCCCCTGGGATGGAGGAGATACCCTAAAAGGAAATGTAAATCGAGATCTCTTACAAACTAGTTAAACTAAAAGAACAGTTGGAGAGTCAGGCCAGGAGGGCACGGCAGATCACAAGCTAAAACAGGCTGTCAAAATATGAACACACTGAGATTTAAAACATATCTAAAAGTCAAAGGGAAACTGCCGAGCCAGCAGACAGTAAGCTGTACCAAGGCAGGTGCAAGTGTTTCTAGTTTTGGTGATGGGATCTCCTATCACAAATTCCTATCCTCTAGCAAAGTTCACATAAGTAAATGTGGAAACCAGGACTGTTATAGGCCTTGCTCTGGATTATTTCTGGAAAACAAGAACACAGAGAAGAAAGAAGAGTCAGAGACCACTGGGAAGGAACTTAAAGATGGGGAAAATGTGAAGATGGAGGTGATTTTGAGATTGCTACTAGTTAATGGTTCAGACTGAATAGTTTGTAAACATAAAACTTCTGGACAAACTGTACAAAAATTGAATTTTGAAAGCTTATTAGCCTCAGTACTGAAGTATGGTGATATCACAGGAATTACTGCTGATAAATCTTAGAGAAAAGGACAACATGAAAAACCTGAAAAGAACAGGAAATATGTATAATCTACCTGGGTTTGGCTCATCTAGCCATGGTTTTCAACTGGCCATAGCATTCTGAGAACTAGGAAGAAAGGCTTCCAGCACCCACGCTAAAGGAACGCCGCCGGCACATCCATGAGCAGTTCACAGGAGGGCAGTGTGTGCCGGGCTGTGCCAGCTGCCTGCCTCATCCCCTGGCTACTAGGTTTCCAAGCAATCAGAGCAGCAAATGGAGGCCCAACACTGCTACAGTGAGATAGTATACCATACCGATGCCCACAAGGAAGGCAAATGGAGAACTGAGGAAATGTGAAGATTTGGAATCATTCCATTTAAGAGCAAAGGAATAACTCAGTAAGCTCTAAGAAAAAACTGTACTATAACTGAGGCTCACAACAAATGTGTAACACTGGGCACAGTGGTGCATGCCTTTAATCGCAGCAGCTGAGAGGTATAAAGGATTACTGTGAGTTCAAGGCCAGCCTTCGATATACAGTGAGACCTCATCTCCACATAAAAAACAACCAAACCAAACCCAACAAACGCATAGAGTGTCGAGTTTATTCAGAGTAGAAAGGGGCAAGGAAATGGAGTTTTTAGAAATGTATTTGTTAAAGAAAAAAAACATAAGGTTTATGTAGGTAGCTTCAATTCATTAGAAAATGCCTTTGCATTCTTCAAGAAGAATAAATATGAAAATATTATACTCTGATTTTTTTTTCTTTTCATGTAACACATAGGACAATAAGCCCAAAGGAGAAAATAGAGCAATTTCACTAAAAGAGAATGTTAGAGAATCAGGAAGTCTGGAAGGAAGATCAGTGTGGGGTGGGATGAATGAGACCCAAGTAAGCAATAAAAAGGTAGCGTGAAATGGTGCTACTTGGTATTTAAATGTCTACAGAATCAGAAAAGAGAATGAGGCTCCTCAACGCCACATTCCGAGTATGGGAGGTTAAAAACACACACACATTAGAGTTAGGTTTTAAATAAAGCCAGATGAAAGAAGCAACTTACAAACACGTAATAAATTATTTCAAAGCAAAATTATAAACTTGAGGTTATCAGTTGTGATAATTATGTAGTCAATATTTAGGCAGTAGGAAATTTTATAGCACCCATTTGCTATGGTAAAACTTTTATCTGCAATCTTCACTGAGCTCTATAAAGTGTCATCCACTTATATTTGGTTTTCTGGACCACAAGTGGAGTCACAATGGGAATCATCCCCACCAACTAAGAGAATCAGTAAATTTCAATGTGAGCACATCCATGGGCTAAAATCCCTATTATTCATACTGCCAAAAAGCACAAGCTCCATGAAGGGACCGACTCTCATTAATCAGGAACAGGCCCTACTTTAGGCCTCACAGTGACTTGCAAGTGTCTCCTCATTTTACAGAAGAGGGATGTGAGTTTGAAGGAAGGAGCTGGTTTGATCTGTCCAGGAGCATCAGGCCAGAGGCCAGGCCTCCTGGGACCTAGGGCAGGCTCCAGGGCCAAACCTGTGGGCCGTCCTTCACATCCAGTACCAACACTGGCTGGACAGCAAAGAGTTCCTTTCAAGAAATTAAAAAGCTTTCACTGCAGATGGTGAAGACCTGTGGTGGTAACAATTTTCTTCACCACCTGGTCTTCTTCCTTCTCCCATCTTCTGTACTTATTTCCCGACATGTCCCCCATCACCGAACTCAATCTCCTCTTCTGCCTGACAATTTATCTTGAAATCCTGCCTCTCTGCATATCAATACCTCCCTTGTCCCCAAGTGGGGCTAATAAATACGCAAACTTTATTTTAAGAGAGAAAATGAAGGCACAATGCCCCAAGCAGTTGACGGGGTCACCAGCAAGGGAGTGGCTTAACTAGAAACAGAAAGCAGATGCTCACGGCACCCAGTAGATTAAAGCAGATTAGAGGTTTATCCAGCTGCAGCAAAGGCTTCGGATGAAGTCAGGCATGCAGTCAGGTACAAAAGGACAAGTGGAAGACTCTACGTGCAGACTGACACCTCCACAGGCTGCCGTGCCATCCCCAAGCTGAGGTCAGGCTCTCTTCCTCCCAGGCGCCCTGCCACAGCCCCCTCCTGCCCATCCCTGTTTTTCCTACGGGGCTGAAGGGCTATGTAAGGGACTGGGGAAGAGACTACTGTGCTTTCTTCCAAAGGACTGAGTGGCCAGCAAATCTGTCTTCTGTCCTGCAGCAGGGTGGGGGCGGAGAGAAACCTGGTTAGAAGCTTTATGGCCTAACGCTCTTGCCTGAGGGGAAGAAGAGGAGCCACTCACAACACGCCTGCTGAGAGAGGGAAGGGACAGTACCAGGCTCTCCTTGGACACAAGTCTTAGCTTCAGCTCTGCCAGGGCCTCTCACTGAAACCAAACCCAGTTCCACCTTCTGGGATCCTTGCCCCAAATGAGAAACACAATCAACAGTTTCGAGTAGTGGGAATTCCGTCTCCCACCACCATTTAGGTGGGCCTAGGGATTAAGGGTCTCCAATCCAGCTGACAAAACTAAAGCAGGGACATGCCTTTCTTGGAGTCTATCTAATCTCCCAGAGAAGCACTATCTGAAGTGGCCCGATGCCACCTCATCACCATATGTAGTACACTTTAAATATGTTATGTAGTAAAATAGTCTTTGTGGCTATACTATGGGAAGAAACTGGGGAGTTGATTATTAGTTCAAGTTAAATGGTTTCTCAGCAGTGCAAGACTGCCACCTAGTGGTAAAAAGGGACAACTGCGTACACAAGGATTCCACAGGCCCTGGCAAAAGGGGCATGGGAGGTGATGACGGAGGCAGACAGGACTTTCCACCCAGGTCTCAAACATATTTTCCAACACCACCTTGGCGAGAACGATGGTGTGCTTACATGAACTCTCCATGAAATGGAGAGGCTGGGATGACCAGGGTCAACCTGGGAATGTTACTTTATCACAGAGGAAATATCTCTCAATAAGCTATTTGACACCAACGTTAAGCTCTGAAAAATATGAAGATGTAGGTAAAAACACTGATCAATAAATTAAAATTGTCTTCTGACCTAGCCACACAATGTCCCTGGTTTCCTCTCAATGGCCCATTAAATTCCGTTTTCAGCTCTGCCACAGGACCTGTCCACACTGAAGGCTCAGCTGGGCCACAGAATCTGAGCCTACATTTTAAACAGAGCCTTGAACTGCCCTGGCTCCATCCTGGCAGGCTGTCCAGATGGCCCATTTAGTACACAAATAAGGCAGTCACTGGTGGTGAGGAGCTAAAAACGTTCCAAAAAACTAAGCATGAACACACAGATTTCAACAACAAATAAATGTTCGATCTTACCTTTTGTGAATTTCATGTAATGAACCCGGTTTTTGGAAACTTTGGACTTTTCCTCAAGGCTGAAAGATTTCCTTTCCTTGTTGTCTGGGGAATCTTAAAGAGGAAAAACACTACATTGAACTCCTCATAATTCATTCTCATTTATTCTCTTCTAATCAAAGGTCTGTCTTAGGATTTTTAGGAGCCCCATCATTTATTACTGAACTCTCACCAAATCATAAGAGTTACTTTTTAAAACTGTGAACTATGGGTTGGGCAAACTTTCCCTCCAAAAATTTATGAAATTCTCGAGCAAGAGAAGTGAAAACCTGTTTTCAAACAAAAATCTATACATAAATGTTTATATTAGCCTTATTCATAATAGTAAAATACTAGCTTACCCCAAAAATCCTTCCAAACGTGAGTGAAGGGCTGAGCCAACTCTGTGCCCTCACGGCAGGCCAGCACCCTGCAGGACAGAGGACCCGACCACTGATGCATACACCTGGCTGGGCCCCGGGGCGTTTGCTTACTGAAGAAATCACTCTCAAAAGGTTACATACTGCACGATTCCATTTATTTAATATTCTCAAAACGGCAAGGCTACAGAGACAGGAGAGATGGATAGTTTCCAGGGGTCAGGAATGAAAGTGGGGTGCCAGAAATTGGAAGGATCGGGTGGAGGATGTAGCTCAGTGGTATAGCACCTGCTTGGCAACCGCAAGGCCCTGAGTTTGATTCCGGGTACCAAAAAACAAAACAAAAAACCCCCAAAATAACACACATACACGCACGCACGCGCGCGCACACACACACACACACACACACACACAAGTTGGAAGGGTGGAAGGTGGGTGCGAATACAAAGAAACAGCAGGATTAACTCTGCATCTCAATTGCGGAGGCGGCTGCACGGATCTCCACTTGTGGTAAATGTGCACATGCAAAGAATGAAAGCTGAGAAGCATGGTGAGAAGTCACTGAGGTCCAGGATCTGGCTAACACGAGGTATCAATTTCCACTGCCATGGTAACATAAGACATCACTCTGGGGGAAGCTGGAGGAAGGGTTTTCAGGATTCTTTGTACTATTTTGTATTTAACAATTATAAATGTATAATGACTTCTAAATAAGAAGTTATTTTGAATGTGAATAGAGGTTAAGACAGCCTGAAGGATCATCAAGAAACAGATGAGATGACGACGGCGAGTGTGAAGGAGAGCTGGCACTGACCACCGCGTGAAAGTCAGCTTTCCTGGGAGGACACCTACAGAGACAAGAACAAAACCCATCATTCAGGAATGCGTGTCTGTGCTCATTCCATGTGAAAAGAGGGAAACGCGTGCAATACCAAAGCAGTCCATCTGGGTTCGGGTCCATTAGAAGACATTAACTAGCTGCCTGGATCTCCTCTGACTCGACTACCTGCTCTTGGAGTTCAGATAAAAGAGCACCACAGAAACAGAACACCTCGGGGAGAAGGGAGTGAATTTCCCTGTTGTTTTAAGGACACCTGGCAGGGGGTTAGAGAAGGGGAAGATGAAGACTTTCACCTGGATCCTGGAGCACAAGCCCAGGCTCCTGGGCAACATGTGAGGCGCCGTGACCCTTGCCCAGCGCTGGTTACCAGTTTCAAAGGCAGCGTGCGCATTCCAGAGCGGGCTCAGGGCCAGCTGAGCACAGGTGTTTCAGGTGGCTGGACCGCACCTAGCACGGGGTGATGACACCAGCTAGCTGAAGCATTCTCTTCTGCAGCTACTTCTCAAGAACATTTTGGGGTTTTTGGTTTTCAAAAATATCCCACCCAGAACCTTTTTTCTCCCTTTTGTGATCAAGAACTCTCACATTTTTAGGGCTGACATTCCAAACAGAAATCATCTAGGAAACTACTAGATACCACCAGCGGCTGGTGTGAGGTGTAAGGCTGGATAAAGCTTTCTGTGCATCGTGCATCCCATTTGCACAACTGCCCCACAAGGAAGCAGGTGGGATTACTGAACTGTCGGAGAGGAGGAGGAGCGCGGCACAGGCAGGAGGCGGCTCTGACAGGGCAGCACCAGGCAGGCACAACTGGGCCACACGACCCGATTGTAGTGCTGTGTCCCTACTGAGCAACCGTCAGCCACGCAGGGCACCACTCCCCATCTGGCCCACTCCGGGTGAAGGGTGCCCACGCCTGGACGGGGCCATGTACCTGCTGCCCACACACACTCTTCCCAGCACTGCTCTAGGTGGAGGGCAGCATCCGGCTGGCTCTCCTGTCCCACATGCCCTCTGCCGTGGTGCGAAGGGAGAAGGGCATGCATCTCCTTTCACCCGGGACCCGTGAGGAACAACCCAAGTACTGACCTTGGGGGTGAGTCTTTTAATTAAGGCAACGGAACCAGCTCCCAAGCCACCACTCCAAGAGATGGACTGCCTTTTGCAACTATGCATATATGATTTTTAAAAAGCATGGATGTTGATCTAAAAATGTGAGATACAACATACCGCTTTTCAAAATCTTTTTAGGATATATGTAAGCACAATAATTTTGAAGATGCCTGCTCTAAACCACACATCTGTGTGTAACAGATTCTCAGCATCCCAGTTTACTTCCCGAGATATAGAAAACCATTAGTGAGACCGTATCTCATGGACGTTAGTTAACAAGCATCTCCTAAAACTGAGATAAGTCCACCAAAGAGCTAACCAGAGTCTAGAACAGTATAACTAAGTGGGATAAGGTATTTTTTTAAAAAACTGAAATCTAAAAGAATATGCTGATTTTTGTGTCCCACAAAAGAACAGGTTATTTCTCCTCTCGGCAAGAGTCTCTGAGAGCACAGCACACAATGTCTGCTAGGTTAAAAGGCCAACGGTGTGGACTTGGTAAGCAATCTTAAGGAGATAAGGACACTATTACAGCAGAAAAACACGTTCTAGGCTACTATGTCTTCTACTTTTCAGCTTTAATACAAATAATGTGTGACTGTGATCAGAACGCCACTCCGATGAAGACACTGTATCTACCAAAGATGACACAGCAGGAAAATCATCTATTAGCTCTCCGGGTCCAGGCCTTGGGACAGACTTTCCCTAAAAGGAATCCTGTAAGGCCCTTTCCGTCTGGGCTGGCAATGCCAAGGCCTGGCATGGCAGGGAGCTAGAGATGGAAGAGCCTCTGCTAAGCACTCCTTGGTGCAGGGCTACTGCCCCCTCTAGTGGCCCAAAGGTGGAACTTATCTACAGACGATTAACTCCGCAGCTTGTGGATCACCTGAAGTACTGGCAAAGTTTTAGGCAGAAAAGGAACACTAATCTTGCACAGGTTAACAAGGCACCACCTCTTGAAATCTGCTAGGCATTCAGAGCCCTCCTGACAACACAGGGCTCTGTGGAGCTCTCAAAACAGCCCGCTGCCTGCACTTCCTAGGGCACCCAAGGAAGGGCAACCAAGGAGCACCTGTCTGGCCAAGGTCCTCAAAACTACCGCAATGGGATCTCTCCCTCAGAATGCACCCATCATGGTACTGTCACACTAGAGGAAAGCAGACTCCAGCTATCACCATCAAGTCTCAAAATCAAATCACTCAGCAATCTGCTTTCTCTTGTCCTTATCCATAAAACTCAATCTAGTAGCTCCTTTGTCGATGGGGCCTTGGGGCAGATCATTTCTTGGTATCCCTATGGCCTGCGAAGTTAAAGCTGGGATGCCAAGCAGTGCAAAAAGGACTGTCTCCCTTTATAAGAATGGGTGTGTGCAGGACCTAAGAGAAGGAACCAGACTCAAGCTTTCATTTTCTCTGAGGATATGGGTGACAAAGGCCCCTCAAGTCCGAGAAACACCCTAGTTATGACCTGATCTGTTTAGGAAAAGTAACTGTTGATTATACATCATTAGTCATTAAGATAGAAGCTGGTCCCTGGTATTCAAATTGATACATCCGTTTCTCTAAAAAACATCCTTCTTTGAAGAGTTAACCTTCATTACAGCCTTAATGGGAAATAAACTACATGTTATATTTTACCTGAAGTCCTATCAGAAAGAGCCCCATGCAACTGTTTTACCATGAAACGCACCGTGATACCTAAGTGTAGTTAAAATCTGTACCATTAAATAAGTATAAAGCATACTTCTTTGTAACCACCTCCAGGGCTAAGAAACAGGCACTGCCAGTACCTAGAAGCGGCCAACCTCCACGAGTCTCTTCTCACCGTTTTCTGCTTTCTCCTAGAACAACTTTCAACCTCTGTTCCATTGACACTGTGTGCACAGTAATTACTTGTTTCTGCCAGGGGAGGCACAACAAGCTTACACACTGTAAGAGGGCTAGCCATATCTTTGACCCTCTCCAACTAGGCGCCAGTAACACTTCCTCAGCTGTGACGATCAAAACTGTCCTTAGACATTGCCAAATGTTCTGTGGGGCACCCCACCCCCAATAGAGAAGCAACAACTTAGGACAATCATTACTACAATTTTTGTGGCAACACTCCATACACACTTGTAATATTTGTTTTAACCATTTCTTTTTCTGGAAGTGGAGATAAAATCCATAGAAAATGGCTAAAACAGGATGATTACAAATATCTGTAACTGCCAGGCAGGTGAAGAAACAGAATATTAACACTGCCCCAGGAACTCCTCAGGAGTCCCTTCTCAATCCCAAATGCTCCCCCAAGCAAAGGTATCACCAGCATGACCTTCATGGTGGAGTCCTCACTCCCTGTTTTTTAGAATATTTTGACCATCTAAGCATAGCACCTTAATATCAGAGTGTAGGCTGGTATCTGGATGCAGATCTTTGAGTCCACCTTCTTTCAGTCAACATTAAGTTACAACACCTTCTATACTAGGCATACGAACTATAACTTGTGGGCCAAATAGAACTGGCCACCTGCTTTTGCAAATAGTTTTATGGGGACACAGCCACATTCACTTCTTCACATACTGTCTACAGCTTTCACTCTCCAATAGCCAAGCTGAGCAGCTGTGACACAGACCCTGTGACCTGTAAAGTATTTCTGTCTAGCCCTTGACAAAAAAACATTCTACACACACATGTAACTATACTACATTTTTCTTTGCATTTATAAAAATGGCTGTGTACTGATCTATTCTACTGGTGGGGGCTTCTGATTTTTGTCAATTTGAGGACACTGCAAATAGTGTCCCTACATTCCAGTTCACGTCTCCCAAGACACACAAGCACAGGCACCTGCTGGATAGGAGTAAAAGGCTATGCTTAGCTTCAGCTGTTGTAATTTCAAACTGATTCTAATGGTCTCATTAACCTATTCCCTGTAGGAATTCCCTGTTCCACATTTTCAGCAGAACTTGACACTGTCAGGGGTATGCCACGGTATCATATTGTGGTTTTATTCTGCATTTTCCTGATGACCAATGTGAAGTGTGCCCTGTCACCTGTTTGTTGGGCACCTGGATATCCCCTTTTGTAAAACACCCGATAAAGACTTGCCTCAGCCAGGGGCAGTGACACACACCAGTAGTCTCAGCTAGTAGGGAGGCTGAGGTGGAAGGACTGGATGGGCCTAGGAGTTCAGGGCAGAAGAACTTCATGACACTTGAGCAATGTGAACCTCCTACATGAATTAAAAGGTGAAACAAACCCCAGTAGAAAGGATCAACATAGAAAAGGCTTCTCTATTGAACCTCTGCTGGCTGCTGCTTATGGTCCACTTGGTATTTCTTATCTGTATTGTGAAACCAACCTTTCAGTCATATTCAAGCATTCTCATACAGAGAACTTCACTGTGTAAGGTGTAAACCCAATGCATTTATCGTGCCATTCTCAAATGGTGAATGAGGAAAAAAGTGTTTGCTGGTGACTATAAGGGAACATTCAAAGAAAGCACCAACAAAACATACAGAACTGAATATCTGTAATATTTTCAATCAAACGACTTTCAGCTATATAATGGTTTCTGTATGGAGTCGATACAAATATTTTATACTGAAAAATATGTCCCCTCTAAGTTCAATGAATACTTCCCTACCTGTGGTTTCCTGCCCATGGCAAGTGTTCAGCTCAGCCAGAAGCTGGTTAAAATCATCCTGATGAGCAATCCAGTTGTCCTGAAAATACCAAAAAGAGTGAGAGGCAAGCCTATAGTTGACCTAGGCTGAATGAGATAGGATATCTTTCATTTACTTATTTCTTAACATTAAAAGAGCTTTTTATTTGTTAATGTCACATAAGAAATTCAAGCATGTCGCACTATCTGAAAAACTACAACTAATGCATTTTAACAGAGATACCCTTCTCTCATCCCACCAACCCCTGGCTGAGCTTACTGCCCTCATGAATTAAGAATCTAAGAGAAATAACCATAAAATAGTTTTGGAGAGTGCTTCGTCTAAAGTGCTTATATGATGATTAGGTTAGTATCATCTTCCTACAAAATTTCTTTTTTCTTTTCTATTTAACAAAACAAAATTTGTAACCTTGATTTCTGATTACAAAACAACCAGTATAAAAGTTCAATATATTGGAAAGCACCCCCCAGCAGTGTTATACCAAATATAAAGCAGACTGCAATCTAGATGGAACAATCTTCAATTCCCAGACACAGTGCTTTATTTACCGTTCCCCCCTTCTCATAAGCACTGAACAACAAAAAACCACATAAACAATTACAAAAAAAAAAGGCAAAAACATTTGAGGGACCCTTTCCAGAGTACATGGTTAGTTCAGTGTCAATAATTCACATGCTGCAACAAAGTTTACGGACATGATTCTTTTACAAAAAGATCACTTACAGTGACACTGTCAGTCTCAGAAAAGGAAATCAAGGCCATCAGATCTGCAGCTTAAAAATTCACATAAAGGAAGTCTAAATGTACTGAAGTAAATTCTGTGCTCCTGAGAAGGCTCTGCACGGTATACAGGTAAAAACTACCATACTTCCTAATACGGAGGAAGACGGCTGACTTGAGAATTGACACAGCTGCTCAGCTTCCAGGTGCTCTTGGGACACCCTGCTAGTGGAAAAGTTCTTCCTCCTTTTCCTCTTTAGGTTTGGTTGTACTTTGTGCAACCTCCTCTCCCTGGGAATTTTCAATATAACCTTCATGTCTTCACCAGTGCCCCAAAAGTTCTGGTTCTTCCAGATGAAGTCAGACTATGACACTAGCATTTGCAGCCCAAACTATAACCGTCTGGCCTGCTCTGCCTTCAGTACATTTCTGACTGGTGTGTCCAACTGTTTTGATCATCTCCCAGCCTCCCATTGGTTAATCCTGTCTGGAAATATTCTTCATGTGAATAAATTTCCCATCAAATTTCACATCCACCTCCTCAATGCACACATTCTGTGGCCGAAGCAGAATGAGAGACACCAACACTACTGCTTGTCTCTGATTCTTCTACCTCAACTCTTCTACTTTCCTCTAATGTGAGGATGCTTGGGACACTGTCACTCACAAGGACTAAAAGAGAACTTCAACCTCCCTTCTTTGCCTTCTAAGAGTTTCCTAGAAGCACTGATTTCCATGCCCAGGGCAAGTTTTACATCAAGAAGTTGCTTATACTCATTTGGCTGTGGCTGCATCTGATCCTTTCTTTTCAACATTCCTCTCTCTGTCAGACAGCATGTGACAGGAGTTGTCCTTCTTGCACAAGCAAGTCCTCCAACTCTTGGATCCTTTCCAAACATGCTCTAGACTCTGCCTGTAGATCACAAAGCTGAGTGGAGAGGCTCTCAATTCTCACACGACTTTCCATCAGTTCCTCCCTGATAATGCTGACAGTCTGGCATTCTTCAGTGTGGCACAGCAAGTCTCCTCAAGCTCATCCTCGTACAGCCTCACTTGGGCACCATGCTCTCATCTAGTGAAGGGTCTTAGTCAGCTTCTACTCGTACACAATCTGATGTCCAGAATCCACCTCTATCACAACCATTTCATGCTTCCTTCAGGTCTCATTAATCTCTTCACACGTGTTTTTAGGAAACTCCAAGTCTTCAGTAAGGCTCTGAAGATGATTCTCCAAATCCACGTTAATGGGCCGGGGATTTAACTCAGTGGTTTTGCTGCCTGCTGCGCAAGTACAAGGACCCGAGTTCGATCCCCGGTACCAAAAAAACAAAAACAAAAACAAACAAAAAAACAAATCCACGATAAGTAAAGTTTCATCTGCTATTTTTTGGTGGCTGCTAAGGAGGCTTCTGGGCAATCCCATCCTTTAGATCTTCCAAATCTCCTCTCACCTTTGTCACCAAGTGCCGAAGCCAGAGCAGCATCTTTAAAGTTCGGTGCTGCTTCCTAGTTTCTTAAGTTTGGTCTAGGCTCCATTAAGATCAGATTCTTAGTACAACAGAGGAGCAGCTAGTCATGCTTGGCCTTGCATTTACCCAGCCTGATCTGTCTGTAGCTTGCTTATCAGCAGTATCCAGAATATATTTTAGATTCAAGGAAATTTGGCAGTTATGAAATACTAAAAATTTCATCAAAATATTGCTTGATAAATTAAAATGGATTGAGGAAATTATATAAGCTTGAAATGTCATCATTTAACCTGATCAATATTAAAAAGGGGCTTTTTGGAAACACAGGGACTGATTTCAAATGTGGATGATTTATCAATATTCAAGTGATGGTCAAAACAGGGAACCTATGTGGGCCAGGGATTTAGCCTGCCTCGCAAGCTCAAGGTCCCGAGCTCGATCCCTGACACCAAAAAAAGAAAGAAGAAAAAAAAAAAACCCAAAACAGGTAACCTATGGGCTAAATATTAAAATAAAGCAAAACAAAATTACTTTTTTCTCACTAGGGGAAATTAGGTAGTTCAAAGGGAAAGAGCAGTGAGGGACACAGAAGCTCTCTTTTTTCCTCTATGGAGCTGAAAATGCTCTGCTCAATCTGATTCCTAGCAAATGACCTAAATTTTACAAAACTTTGGGGAATCGGAAGGAGGTACTCAAAGTCCTCTGAATCAATGAGCTCCCATTTGTAAGGTGATTAGCTAACAGAAAATGGAGACCTCCAAAACACTATCGACTAGAGGGAAGCAGAGGTTCAAAGCAGGAATTTGCCTCATACAACTTCTTATGCATTATTTTTTTAAAAGGCTTAAAGTTAAAGCATATTGAATAGGTTTCCTGGGCAGTGCTTCTACTAAGAAAATAAGACTATGTTGCCTGTCTCTCAAAGCTACATTCAAAACCAACCTTACATAAACTTTTTCTTTAGTGGCTGAAAAATTTAGTTGTTAGTCCAGAAAACTTTAGCTGTTCTAATCTCCTACTCAGAGTTACTGAACTAATCAAAATACCCAGTTCACCTAAAGTAATTCTCTCCCAGATTCTATTTGCCACAAAAATTTAAGAACAAAGCTTCCAGCCTGACCATTTTCTAAAGGAAACAACGGTGCTGAACAGAAAAAACATGGCAGGCCACTGATTTTTAACTGCAGTGTCAATGATCAAAGAAAATAGGAATTATTCAAATGCTATACACCAACAGTCAGAAATAGACAACAAGAAAAGAAAACTAATTTCTTGTGATAGTTCCTAAACTAAGTAACACCAATTTTTAATAGTATAAACTAATATCAGAACACAGGTTAAGATAAAATATCCTTTCTGTCCTGAAAAGAAGACTTCTGGCAAAGTTTAGCAGTAAACCTTGCTTGGATCTCTTAGGTATAAGCAAGTAAGGATCCTGAGAGTCTTAGAAGGCAAGGTGATGGATGGCATGTAACACAAAGATGCACCAGTCTAGCCAGCACTCTTGCTTTATCTAAAACACCAATACTACACACATCAATAGTCAAAACCCAGTGGACTGGAATTCTAAAGTTACCAGAACCAAAGGCAATTATGCAAAGAAAACACCAAATGGCACACTGGTGCTCACTTCATTATTGATGGTAGCTCCAAGTCCCAGGTGGTTATTTTTAACTTGAACTTTAATATGATCCGTGGCTCCTTGTTCCTGAGCCCCCAAGCCCTGTGAAGAGTAAACACAAAGGGAGTTAGCATTTCTATTAAGCAGAGAGCTCATCTATTTCTTCCTTCACCAACCATTCAATGAATGACTAAGTATCTAGGGTGAGGCGCTATCCTTGGCCCCAGAGAGGACACAGTCTGACTGATTCTTAGATGATAATGCCCAACACCAAGGATGCATGTATAGCAATGAACACCAATTCTTCAACCTGAGATCAGATATAAGCTCCATATAGACACTAGGTAGAAAACATCTCAGGCTGATGCTCAGGGCAGAATGCTACTACCAAACTCACAGAAGCCCACAGGTGGTGTTACAAGCCTACAGTTCTCTCCATCACTTAATGTTACAAAAAGACACCAAGGAAAGAGTGAAAGGGACACTAAAAGTCCCCTGCAACAATTAATATTCACTTGTACGGCTCAGGTCAGGAGAAGAGTGAACACAGAACCTAAGGTGGGAAAGGGCTTGGTGTAATAGAGGGTGGTAGCTCAGCAAGTAGTAAAGGGAAAATACGCTGATAGGAAGGGGCTGGATCTAACAGGACCTCAGGACTTACGGTAGACATTTGGATTTGATTTTTAAAACTCTTGGAGAGCACTGGATCTTTGCAAAGGCATATCGTGATCTAATTTCCACATTCTAAATGACCATCTGCCTGCCATATGGCAAAGTGGACCAGAGGAGGAAAAGAAGGGTGGTGCTGAGAGTGCTGGGAGGATGAGGAGAGCTGACAGTGAGCCCGGTGCTGGTCTGCCCAGAGAGGAACGACTGGAGATGCAGGAAAGAGAGGCAGGAACCAAGTTCTCTGGCTTAAATACATGGGTAGATGAGTGTATGGGTAGAGGGTACCATTTCTGAAAATCAGGACAACTCAGGAGGAAAAGATGTGAGGGGACTGAGAGTATTACAATAAAAATGGTACCCTTGAGATGTGTGCTCAAGTAGAAAAGCCAAGCGGCCCAAGGAATTTACAAATTTGGAGCTCTAAGGACAGAATGGACTCCATATACTTGAAAGCACAGCATGGCAGGAAATGAAATCACTGGAGCAGTACACAGCAAAGGGCTTGTGCTGGACCCCAAGGAGATCCAAAGCTCAACACGTCTGGAGGAAAAAGACACAGCAAGAAACTTAGAAGTGGCTGGTGAGGCCAAAGAAGAAGAGAAGGAGTATCGTGGATGCCAAGACACAAGTACTACAAAGCAGGAGGAGCTGATTACATCCAACGCTACTAAGGGCTATGTGAGAACAAAATAGTACTGCACACACCAACACTGCCAGAGTCAGCAAGGGAAAAAGCACACACACATACAGTCTAGCTACAAAAGGGAACTGAACATTACTCCTGGCAATATAAGGCCCTGATGGTTAAGTATGAGTCCACGTGTGACTAACTAAATAGTGTCTAAGGAAGATGCTAATCACAGCAGTTTAAATGAAGAGCTGACATTCATGTTCAATTCTGATTTCATCATTTAGTCACTACAATTCATTTCTCCAAAATTACTTATTGACCCAAAACGACAAAAACTTCTACCAGACTTCTAAGAAAGATGCTTCATTATCTCCTGCCATGGTTCAGGTGGCTTTTGGTCTTTTTGTTTTTGCTTTTCTTTCTCCAAAATACCTTTCCTTTAGACCAGCCCATCTTCTCTAGCATCCTCTGGCCGAACTTGGAAGCATCATTACTCCATGCAGTGTTTCTTGGGTCCAGAGCCCACTTTTGCTTTCGCCGGCCTGTAAATGAAAAAGTGCCTCATCAATCTTTTGAACTTGGGAGAAACACACAAATACACACCTACTCGCATACAATATGATACACATGTTTTATTACATAAGCCACCACACTGAACACTCACTAGACATTAAGAGAGCGGGTCATTTCTCATTTCCCTCATAACTATATGTTCTTAATATACAAACTGACTTCCTAAGTTTAAATTGTCCCCTCTAAATGTGACAAAGCAAAATAAGCATCCAATATACCATTAGCTGGGCCTCCCACACTTAGCCATCAGCTGCAACTGAAAGCACCCATGGACATCAGCGTTATCATCACCATCAGGAGCAGCAGCAAGAGCACTTCTCATAGCTATTATTGCCAAGGCTTGTGTGCCAACTGCTATTCGTATAGTACTACATATGCGACATAACCATCACCTGTATACATATTAGATTCAATTTTCACAGTATTTTCACTTCTTTCCCTTCATTTTCCAATGAAGGGAAATATGTCTTAACTCTGCCTTTCAGATAAGGAAACTTGAGGCTTGGAGAAAGAAATGTACCTAATGTTCCCAAGCAAAACCCAGACCCTTTATACAAATCAAGGTTCTACTGGCTTCAAAGCTCATATAGTTAATCTACAACATACAATAGTCATTACAATCTTGGGGAGAGTCAACCGTACCTCCATTATGTGTACAATCTACACATAATGACAACTTCCCCTCTCACTGAACTACCCTACACACCATAATCTACTCATTGAACTTCCAGAATCAAGGATCTGTTTTACTTCTGGCATTTAACATACTATTGCATTAGGGCTATTTATATCCATGATTTATGTTTCCTGGTAGACCATAATCTCCCGAAGGGTCATATTCATTTCTTTTTCTTTATGTTCCATTGCAAGAAGTAAAAACAACATTTTGAATGTAGCAGTCCCTCAATAAATATGTGAATGAATGAGAAAGAATGATGGGAAAGGAAGAAAGGAGGAAAGAAAAAAGGAAAAAGGGAAGGAGTAGAACTGAATTAAGGAAATTCCTTTGAATCTCATCAAACTATTTTTAAATGTATATAAATAACTGAGCTCTAGGAACTCAAGTTTACTGTTGTAGCTTCAAGAAAAATTACTGCAGAGAAAGAATCACAAAGATTCAAAGAAGAAAAATATGAGACCTACAGCCAACTGTGCGCAAATGAGGAATCTGAAGATTTCAGTGTTACTATCACTCACCCACTGCAGCAGCCTCTCACCTCGGAAGTCTCACAACACGGTGAAAACATAACACAACCCCTAGTCAAAGGGGCTCACTGTGCTGCACGTAAAATCAATACAAACCCTTAACTATACACGCCCTAGCAAAAACAAGAGACCCTTTGCATGTACACAGGCAGAAAGAGGCCATTTACAAAGCAAAATGAGTGGGACTCAAATTTACAGTGTTCTGCAAGAAAAAGCTGACCCCAAAATGCTCTACTTGGCTAATTACTACTGTACTTATCTTGGTAGAGACTCAGGATAAAACTGTCTCTACTAATAAACATGCCAGAGGTAAGCCTTGCTAACCAGTACTCTGTATGTAACCGGTACTGGTGGGTCAGAGTCCACGGACAATGCTTGCCAGGGGTCTTTGACTTCAACTGAGATGGAGGAGGCAGCTTGGAGAATGACTGACTCTCCCTCTACAATAAAAAATCCATGCTGCGTATCTATATCCAGCAGACTGCAATGCTCCTCTACAGAACTGGCCACCAGAGGCCGGGATACATTTGGATGGGCCAGCTCCAGGGGACTTCACTTTTCAGACTCCATGTCTGATAATCACACGGTTTATGCCAGCAGTAAGCTAACTCGACAGGTACATTGAATCCCAACAGTCAGGGACAGAAGTTCCTTTTTCTTTTTCCAAAGATACTTCCAGATATTTAAGAATTCAAAATATAACACCCACAGTCTTATTAAAAAATTCAAGACATATTTAAGATCAAGAAAACTGCAATATAAAATTTTAATGCAATTAGCATTCAAATCCAATAACTATAGTGAGATAACTGCATGAATTTTCCTACTTTGTAACTCAGTGACTCGTAAATTATTTTCCTCTGAATTCAATTCCTGCTCCTGTAAAATAGGGATGGTGCCCTGCCACTAGTGCTTCGGTGGTCCGTTAGATAACAGGATGAGGCCGGCATTTATTTCGCAAAATCCCTTTGCAGTTGCTGCTGGTCTGTTAAATAGCTGTTTCTGTCTGCTGCTCATGGCACAGCTTCCAAAAAGTTCCGGGCCAGCTCTTCGTGACCACGACACGACTGCCATCTGGTGGCAGCAACCTCAGCTACAGGTCCCATCCAGAAGTTGAATGGCCTCTCACAGGGAGCGGGAATGAGGGGACTTCATTCCGGAGAGTAAAAAGTCAAAAAGCAAACAGATAGTAGGCAGCACTGCGACCAACACTCTAGTAGTGGAGTTAACTGCGACTAACGAAGACACACCCTCACGTCTTAGAGTCACTCCTGAGCCGCGTGCCCCCCAAATCCAAGGCTAACTTTCTGTGTTTGATGCTTCTAAGCCTTGGGTTTTTCTTTTTCTGCGCGCTAGGACACCTTCAACAGCTGGATTCACCGCCTGCAGAGATCCTTCTGGCCTACCTTCTGTTTTTAAACCTGCGGAAACTGAGGCCCGAGGAACTAAAATGAACACCCCGGGTTCCCAAGACCGCCGGAGGCAGGCCCTGTCCCAGGACCTTGGGTCCCAACTCCTGTTCGAACGCACAGCGCGCGCCTCAGGTCTGGAGGACAAATCTCAGAGGGACACTCGAGTCTCCTTCACAGCAGACTGGCGGCTTTCAGGAAAGCCTGGGCTGGGGCATCTCTGCAGACGGCAGGGCGAACCTAGCCGGGCTTCCCGGCCCAGATCCCCGGTCTCTGACGCCCCAGGCAGGAGACGCCCCCAAGCCCCTGCGCGGGGACGACCCCGCCACACCGGCGGCCGCGCGGCACCCGGTGGCTTTTCCTTCGCTCTGGACTCGGGCCTCCGCGTCCGACACTTACGCTCGGCCAGCATCGACATGTCGCCGAGTCTGCAGTCTGCGGGTCTTCGGACAAGCGCGACTGTGGTAACAGGGTTCGAACGAGGAAAGAGAGAGGCAGAGCCAGACGCGCACGCCTGACGCACCTTAGCGCCCGGGCGCGTGCTGATGACGTCACGGCGCGCGACCCGCTACCGACCACACGTTAGAGAGGGGCGGGGCCCGTGGTGCGAGGAAGGCGTGGCCATCGGGGGGGCGGGGAGAGGCGTGGTGGTTCATTGGCTGGAACCTCCAGACATGCGCTCTGCCCTCAAGCAGCTGCAAGTCTAAGCGGGAAAAGAGAAAGATGAGCAACCATCCTTAGGTTCATCGTTGTCCTGCAAAAGACATGCACAAGTAGTTGGAGGAACTCGGCTGGAGGGGAAAACTTGGCATTGTGGTGTCCTCTTATTCACGCTCTATTTCCCCCTTCCCCCAGGAGAAAGGGATGGATAGTGATATATAGATCTGATATCTTTCTGTCGTTGTATGGGATCATGAACAAATTAGTTAAGCAGATAACTAATTTTGGGAAAACGTCGTCTCTCTTTAAGTAATGTGATGTAAAGATGGGTTGTTGATTTCTCCACCTCAACACGCGCACCGAATGTTGTCTCTGTCTTGCACAATGATTCTGAGTATGGTAGGGGCTCCATAGATGTTAACAAATTTCAATTACGGTGCCTGTGTCCCCGGGGGAGTGGTAATGAGATTCTAGGAGAGAAAATTTCAGGGAGACAGTAGGGAAATGTTTTTGGACAGGTGAACTTCAGGTGACAGTGCACACAAACGGCAAAGTTTACCCTGCGCAAGTGGGAGGTGACCAGAGCAGCGCCCAGGTGTCCAGAGAAGCTATGCGAAGCATGTTCTTAATAAAACTCACCTTTAGGGATCTAGACTAACAAGATAACTTCCTTTATTTCATAAAAGTTAGAAAGAAGAAACACAAAAGAGTATTTACTATTAGTAACTATTCAGGAAACAAGAGGGGAGTGCAAGTTAATGGGAGCAGCTAAGTCGTGGCATGAAGAATAAGATTAAAATAGAGATTTGGACTTAGGAAGGCAAGATAATGAACATTTTAGGATAACTAGGGGATCTGTTTAATTATAGCAGTGAAAATGAAGGCACGTATACAGAGAGAATAGTGAATTAGTATTTTTCAAGTCCCACATATTTTGGTCTGTGATTCAGGAAGATAAATATGGTCAGAAAGGTTGAGGCAGAAGTCTGTGATGGTCTAGTACTGACCACCCATCACCATGCCCGAGCATGCCAACCTCCCCCCCTACAATGCTCTGTACGAAGCCACAAAGGAATGTTGTAGCACAGATTCTGCATTTAGGTGAATCCAAAGTTTCTTCCACCTCCAGCATCCTCTATGTCTATGAAATATTCATGAGAATTACAGCAATTTATCTAGAAAAGAAACAGAGCTGGAGCTCGTCAGTTAAATTTCCCTTACTCCTCAGAGACAGCAGCCTGATACAATACAAAAAGCAAAAACAAGTATTATAATGGCAGTCAGAAAACCTAAGAGCCCAAGTTCTACTATAGGCTTGGCAGTATGGCTTTGGACAAATCATCTCACCTCTTTTAGTATCAGCATTCCAATCAATATTTTAAAAAGAGCTGAATGATATTTGAGGTGGTTTCCATGTGTAAAAACTTACAGAGAATACTTTAATCCAAAAAATACAACTCAATAGTCTGACCATTAGGGAAATATAGCATGAGAGTTCAAAATTTAAATTTGGAAACAAGACATCCTGGGTTCATATTTTAGCTCTGTCACTCACCAGCTTTGCTGCTCTTCTGTATGCTGGGCTGAGTACTTCTCTCCTCTATGCAGCTATTCTTCATCTGTAAGATAGGAACAACAGTGCCTACTGTGTAGAGGTGTTACAGGGAGTAATGAGATGCTACTTTTCATGTGAGTCATTATAATATTAAGTAAAATGGAGGTGAGGGTGATTATACCAACAATTCTTTGTTGTTTCAAGCATGTACTAAGAGCTAGGGTTACAAAGGTGGACAGAAACAATCAAGTCCCCTACCCTCATTGAATTTGCATTTTAACAGGGGAGATGACGTGAATCAAATAAGTATATCAAATGCTATAAAGGAGTGATTTGTGTGGTTAGAAAAGAATATAATATAAAGACAAAAATTAGGAAGCATATGAATGTAAATGTGAACTGGAGCCACGTGTCATGCCATGAGCAGTAGAAAGGGATGTGTTATGGGAGCTCAGAGCAGAAGGCTCACCCCAGCCAGGAGCGGCATGGAGAGTGTGGGTGGCCTGAGATTCTGCCTCTGTCTCTGCCAAAATTTTATGACATCATGCTATAGCCATCACAAAAGGGCTGTGAAAATCTGTAAAACTCAACCCTCCGAAATCATGGCCGCAGATCCAAATTAACATTATGGTGTCAAAGGACCCATGTATTTCCTCGGTCTTATAACCTCAGTTTATTGCCCTAACACAACTTCCCCTAACCTTTGAGTGAGACAGTGACAAGTTAGTTTCTCATATCGTGAGATGTTTCCAGGGGCAGCTGGTGGGGAGGAGAGAAGGATGGTGGGGCTGGGGCAGGGAGAGGCCTGCGAAGAGGAGGAGTAGAAGCAGAGTGAAGGGTGGACGACAACAATAGAAATAGGATGGCGACTGACGGAGTACCCTCTCCAGGCTTCCTGTCCTGACTGCAGGTGGAGGGTTCTGGTCCTGACAGTGGGAAAGCCAGAACCTCCATTATGGCGTGATGAGTGGACACCCTGGAATCAGCCGAGGAGGCTTCCCAGGCTCCACTGTTGGTGCCTCCGATCCTTTCTACACAACTTTCTTTCTGCTTTCCAGTGTTCACTGGCTAAGCAGCCTGGAGCCCAGGAAGCTCTGCTGGTATGGTCTGTCCCCACCATGGTGGGCTTCCTGGCTGTGGTAATTAGCACAATGAACCCCCACATTAGGAGTCAAATGTGGCTCTGGTGCTGCAGTTGTGACCCCACTCTGATTCCTCATCTGCTATTCCAGCAGATTGCTGTGATGACTCAGAGTGGACACAGGGACACCTGAGAACAGAAGCAATCTAATGGTACACATGGCCACTGCCCGGGGCCTAATCTTCTCTATTCCCGTTCTTCGTGTCCTACTTTCCTCTTCCTCTGCACTTACCAGCTGGTGAGCCTAGGCAGCTGACTTAGTAAATTTCCTGTGTCTCAGGTTCTCCATCCACGTGCTGCTATTCTTTTTTTTTTTGGTATCGGGGATTGAACTTGAGTCCTTGAGCTTGCACAGCAGGCAGCCAAACCACTGAGTTAAATTCCCGGCCCCATCCATCCACGTGATAGATGGTACCCGCCTCAAAAGTGCTATACGTGCTCTACAGTGAAGATGTGTGACCTGCCCATAATTCCTATGTTGGGACCTAATCCCCAGTATGAGGGTATTTGGAAGGGATTAGGTCATGAGGGGGAAGCCTTCACGAACAGGATTAATGCCCTAATAAGAGACCGAACAGACTCCCCCTTCCCCTTCTTATCGTGTGAGAACTCAATGAGAAAGCTGCTGTCTGTGAGCTGGGAAGCGGCCCTCACTGGGCATGGAACCTGCCAGCACCTTGACCTTCGACTCCCGGCCTCCAAAACCGTGAGTCATACAGTTCTGTCATTTATGGGGCTGTGTATTTTGTTACTGCAGCCCAGAGTGACTGAGACGACACATACATTGGCGGTTAAATTAGGTGATTTGGACAGCACTTGGGATGGAGAAGGAACTCAGGAAATGGCCTGCCGGTGTTTATGTGCACATAGGTTTTGGTTTTGTTGTTGCTGTTGTTGCTTTGTTGTAACGGTCTGTGTCACCTAGGCCACCATCTTGATCTGTCCACTAATGATTTCAGCGTAGTAGTAGACAAGGGCGATTCTCAGGGGCAGGGGTGAGAACCTTTGAACTAAGAACTCTTCGGAGTTGGACCCTCCTTGAGTCACTAGGTGATGAGGAGCTGGTAAAGAGGAGGCCATGATCAAGAAGCACAAATACAGAGAAGAGAGACTATTTTACAGAAATCCCTGTAAGTCCTACAGCACATTTGTGATTTAGAGTTAATTTACAAAGAGCACTTTTAGGAAACTCTGTCACGAGAAATATTGTTAAGTAAATAAAACCGTTTGCAAAACTGTAGGTACCTTATTTTTAAAAACTCACTTTAAGAAAAAATATGTACGATAGTCTACATATATAGTTAATAGAGGCATGGGAAATGTGGGGAGAATATTTCAGACTATAAATACTAGTATTTTCTGCAAAGTGGGAAATGAATTACAACTTCTACAGCATGCATTTCTGTATTGTCAAAACTATTAAATAATAACATAATGTTTCTTTACCGTATCAGAATGGTTTAAATATATCTATCCACCCTATTAGTATGAGAAAGGGCCACACCCCCTTGGAATCTGGGGTCTGCATGTGGGATGGACGCCGTAAGAATCTTGCCTGGACATTTCACTCATCTGATCCCCTCAATCCAAGGTGTGCTGGAAACCGACTCTAGGCATCACCTTGTTGACAGCTACCTGATACCTGTAGGGCCCCTAAGAGCCAAGCAAGCGCAGATCCACTGAAATGACAGCCAGCTGGCAAAACCAAACAAAAAGCCATAATCCTGCAGCCAAAGATAGAAGAGTAGGACTTCTCCCACAGTCTTCTCGGAGTGAAGACTCCACAACAGGGCTCCAGGAACCCCTTCGAGCCCCAA